GTTTTAAAAAAATGTAAAACTATAGTTCATACTAATATATACAACAGTTTTAATATTTTGTCATTTTTTAACTTTTTCAAATATCATCATATGTATAACCTTTTTGTTTTGTTTAAATGTTCAGACATGCATAATTTATAGTATTTGCGTAAGTATGTAAGAAGACGCATGCTGTTTAGGTAATAAATGGACGTAACTTGAAATCAGAATTCAACATATATATATTGATAAAAGGTATGTAGTTATGTAATGGTTTTTTTTTTTTTGTAAAACATTTATGATGGTTAATCGATACATTCTTCGTATTGTTTTTTGTGATCACTGGTGATTAAAGGATCAAGGTTTAATCTTTTAGGTTTTTCGTATCTCAGTAAACCTATTAAGTTATTATATCCAACACTAATCCTCGGAATTGTAGGTAATCTATCAACAAGTAGACTTATGAACTCTGTTCGATTTTGCCTTTACTCATGCAGGTCAAAGCATTTTCCGTGTCGGGCTTACGGTTATCCATTTGGCAAACTGAACAATGTAAAGGACTTATTATAACCAGAATATTTTGTTTTTGTTTTTCAACTTGGAATAGGTTGTCACTGTGAATCTTTTCATCTAGGTGCTTCGTAAAACCGAAAAACTCTAAGATGTATCTCTCTACATTATTCGGACTTTTTGGTTTAATAAAAAAAACTACATTGTATATCAGGGACAAACAATTGAAAAAGTAAGAAATAATTTTTAGAAGGTTTTATGTCCAACTCATATTATATAGGGTAATCAAAAAACATATTTATGTAATGTAAAATTATGTCAGCTCTTCAGTGTAATTTTTTCCCCGAAAAAGTACCTCCAGAACCCGCTTAATAAAGAAAGTTCTCTGATTACCAGCCATAGCAGTATATATTAAACTTCGTAAAGTTCCTTTAATATACTGTACATATTACCAACCAAAACATGCATCCAAAATTTATCTTATCAAAATTTATCTTTTATCAAAATACTCAGAAACTTATATATCAAACCAACTGGCGTGCAGCGCCGGATAACCCCACTTATGGAGATCAGAAGTCCAATAAAGGCTAATTATAATTATTACAATCTATAAGTAAAGAGATTAGATTTCCTAATTAAGTAGCTTTCTGCTTCTTAGGTATGCGATATCATCCGCCCAACAATAGCATGGTCACCGATATTTATGTAATTTTCAATACATAAACTAGAAAATGTCAATATTTTTTTAATCACTATACCGACTTATTTATGTAATTTTCAATACATAAACTAGAAAATGTCAATATTTTTTTAATCACTATACCGACTTATTTATGTAATTTCTTCTCGCTGATTTTTTTCAGGTAATACTATTTAACATTTCAAATACTAAATTTTTTTGGAGGATTGTGAATGTGTAGGAGATCGTTAACTAAGGAATCTGAGATGGAATCTTTCAACATACCGTTCTACAATCCAAACGAAGAAAATGTGAGGAAGTTATTTTAAACGAGTAATCCTTCGAGATGATCAACAAGATCGAGACACATGACCATATTGTCCCATACAAATTTGAGAAAGATGAAGAGAAAATTTCACTTCAATCAATTGAAGCCGGTAAAGAGTGAGCTACCGGAATAAGATGCAATCGCTCACTTTGGAAAAGCTGTTATCGATCCGGTGTTTAACAAAATGTATCTAAGTGTCTAAAGCCATCGTCCCAATATGACCCTCAACATTGTTGTTTCTTTGACTGAGAAATAAAGAAACAACGATGTCGTTATCTTCTGATTTACATTTTAAATTCATTATGAATAGATATAGCAGCGTGTTATCCTGAGTTTTGGTACTTGATCATTGTTTTTGTTTACCTCTATATGCAATTAGAGTGGAGGGATACATTTTCAGTAGGCAGAATAGCTCCAAAAATATTTTGGACATATATCTTTGTCTGACTATACCACTCTACGTGATGCACCCCCACTGGTTTGTTCTTTAAAAGAAAAAGTTACCTCCAAAACAATTATGAAACGTAGCATCAATATTTATATTGAAGTCTAAATTTAATATCTCTTGAAAATCACAATCTAATGGGTTTTACACAAATTATTATTTAAATTCACTGTCTCTTTCAGTTCTCTTGCAAATAAGTTAATGTATTACCCGTTTGTTTTTCAAGTGGAAATTGAATATAATTACCTTCTTCTTTTTGTAATTACTTGATATTACTTACCATTTGTATTTATTATTGAAAGTTTTTTTCTTCTTATAAAAAATGCAAATTTCTTCAAAGCCTTTAAGAAACTGATTCAAACATTTTGTTCTTACATCATGTGGAAATAATTTGATTGTGATATCTAAATCCATATTATTTTTATCACATGTGTGGAAACGACACGGTTTCTGGTAGACTAATCTTTTCTCTTTTATAGAGAAGAATGACACACCCACACGTCGAATTAGTCTTTTGTTGACTATATATTTTTTTATCATTTTTGTTAGACCCACGTTCTTTTCTCTCGTCGATAAATCAGAAAAGCCTCGTGATCAAGACATTGGACCCCACTAAAACTCAACTTTTCTTCTTCTTTATCATTATTTTACTTCACAGAAATTTCGAAGTTGTTGCAACGGAAGGATCCTCGCTTATTCCTTGCGTCCATTAGTCTCCGGTATCGACCTATAATAATAATTTCTTGAGTTGTTTGGGCTAAACACACAACTCAGAACAAAGACAGAGACACCCCCAAAGAATATGAGCTCCTCTGACTCTTCTTCCGCGGAATCACGTCTAGCCACGGCTAAGACGGTTCTCACAACCGCGGCTTCGGTGGCTGCAACCGCAATGCTGGCTAAATCGTTAGTTCAAGATTACTTACCTGACGAGGTGCACCACTACATCTCTTATGGCTTTCGCTACTTCTTTAGCTACTTCTCCTCCCAAATGACGATAATCATTGAAGAATTTGAAGGGTTTGTTCACAACGAAGTCTTTGCGGCCGCAGAGGCCTATCTAGCCACCAAGATCTCTCCTTCTAACAAAAGAATCAAAGTGAGTAAACACGAGAAAGAAAACAACTACAACGTCACCGTGGAACGTGACGAGGAAGTTATCGACACCTTCAACGGCGTTAAATTCCAATGGATCCTCCACTGTCGCCATGTCGAGTCCAAGAACTTCCACAACCCTCGGGATCTAAACTCCACGCTCAGATCCGAGGTCCGATCATTCGAGCTCAGCTTCCACAAGAAGTTCAAGGACATGGCTCTTGAATCTTACTTGCCATTCATGGTGCAAAGGGCTACGTTGGTGAAGCATGAGAAGAAAACGCTCAAGATCTTCACACTCGACCCTGATTCCATGTACGGGACTTACTCAGACGCTTGGACCTCTGTGGTTCTTGACCATCCTTCTACCTTCAAGACGCTAGCAATGGATTCAGATGTAAAGAGAAATGTGATGGAGGATCTAGACCAGTTCGTGGAGCGTAAGGACTTCTATAAGAGGGTTGGTAAAGCTTGGAAGAGAGGATACTTGTTGTACGGTCCACCAGGCACAGGAAAGTCAAGCTTGATTGCAGCCATGGCTAACCATCTCAACTTTGATATTTATGACCTAGAGTTGACTGCGGTTAGCAACAATTCTGAGCTCCGACGATTGTTGATTGCCACTGCTAATCGTTCAATACTTGTTGTGGAAGATATCGATTGTTCCATCGAGTTGAAAGATAGGTCAAGTGATGAACTTTCTCAAGAATCAGACGAGCCTAATGATCCACGGTACAAAAAGGTAACACTCTCTGGATTGCTAAATTTCATAGATGGTCTGTGGTCAAGCTGTGGCGACGAACGGATCATAATATTCACAACCAATTACAAAGAGAAACTTGACCCGGCGTTGTTGAGGCCAGGACGCATGGATATGCACATTCACATGTCCTACTGCACGCCAAGTGCTTTCAAGGCACTTGCTTTAAACTATCTAGAGATCAAAGATCACCACCTTTTCAATAAGATCGAGGAACACATTGAGACAACAGAGGTTAGTCCAGCAGAGGTCGCAGAACAACTGATGAGGAATGATACAGTTGATAGGATTCTTGAAGGTTTGATTGAGTTTTTGAAAGTCAAGAAGATCGAAAACGAACAAGTTAAGGCCAAAAAGGAAGAGCAAGAATTGAAGAACAAAGAAAAGGCCATGATCAAGGGCACAGATTCGAAGGTCAAGAAAAACGAAGAGGTGGATGAACAAGTTATGAGGAATGACCGTGTTGATAAAGTTCTTGAGGGTTTAGTCGAGTTATTAAAAGCCAAGAAAATCCAGAACGATCAAGATTAGGCCAAACATCATGAGGAGGCGAGTAACATTAACTTCTGAGATTTTGAAAAGATTAACGCGATAAATTACACCTTGTTAAATAACACGAGACTCATTGTTAATTACTTGATCTTATATTACAAAATAAGCAAAGATATGGATCCAGAGATGAAAGGGCTACACATGGAAAAAGGAATGAAATATAAATCAGACCATTAAATTTCCAGATTCGATTAGATTATCGAAAAATCAGAAAGTAAATCATAATCTTAGCACAAACCCGAAGAGATATAGCAATTCCAACTTAACTCATCATTGTACAACTTCATAACTAGTCGATAAAAACATACATATTTGAAAATAAATACAGACTTGAAAATAAAACACATGTACATTTAGAAAATAAATACAGAATTATAAAAACATGAACCAAATATTTTCTAGTTTTTTTTCTTTTTTCAATATTTTTTTCTACACTATTATATATTTTCTAGAGATATTTGAATTAGAATTGGGAAATCGAACACATGAAATTTAAACCAAGCGTCACTAAATGGAAGACTAGAAGAGTGTAGGGGTATAGAGTTTTCACTTTTCACTATAATTATAAAATGGGCCGTAATCGTGGCCCACTATACACAATTTGTTTACTGATCCATCCCCAATTAAATCATCTTCTTCATCCCAAATTCTCTACCGCCCTAATTATCTCGTCTTTACGATCAGAGATGTCGTGTGTAAAAAAAGCTTAGTGATCGCAGAGGCACTTCTGGGTTCGACCACCAAAAAAAGAGTAGAACTTGGTATCAAATTATCTCCTTAACCCTCACAATTTTGTTTTTTAATTGTTAGAAGTTGAAATTTTTATGTGCATAATCGAAAGCGTAGCATCGTCTGATTAATCGAATCAGATTTATCCCCACGTAACCTCTTAGTTTATGTCTGTAAAAACATGGACCTGTACGCAATCTAATACCCACCCAGTACTGTTGTCTGAAAAAAAAAAAATTCTTGTTTCTTTTTTTTTTAAAGAATTTGTGGGGTTGATTTCTTGTTTTATGTGAACTGACTGGTTTTATTTACAACATTTTGATAAAGACTGAAGGAGATGAGTTCCTCTGCTTCATCATCGGCCGAATCTCATCTAGCCACCGCCAAAACAGCTCTCACGGCGGTTGCATCGGTGGCTGCAGCCGCAATGCTAGCTCGATCAGTGGTCCAAGACTATATGCCAAGCGAGGTCCATGAGTTTATCTCTTGTGGCTTTCGCAGATTCTTCGGCTACTTCTCTTTTCAAATGACAGCTCTAATCGAAGAATTCGGAGGTTTCGAGAACAACGAAGTGTTCGAAGCAGCAGAGGCTTATCTCGCCACCAAGATATCACATTCCACTAGAAGAATTAAAGTGAACAAACTCGAGAAACAGAGCAATCTAAACGTCACCGTAGAACGCGACGAGGAAGTCGTGGATTACTTTGATGGCGGAGTCAAGCTCACTTGGATCCTCCACGTCGATAAAAAGGACTTTCGTAACCCTCGAGATCTTAACTCAACTCTGAAATCGGAAGTGCGTTTCTACGAGCTCAGGTTCCACAAGAAATTCAAGAACGTGGTTCTTGAATCTTACTTGCCCTTTGAGTTGAAACAAGCTGCTTTGCTGAGACAAAAGACCAAGACTTTGAAGATCTTCACACTAAACTGTTACTCTGCGCAGTGGACATCTGTGACTCTTGACCATCCTTCCACGTTTCTCATTCTCGCCATGGATCCCGAGGTGAAGAAAGACTTGGTAGAGGATCTGGATCGTTTTGTGCAGCGTAAAAGCTTTTACGAGAGAGTAGGGAAAGCTTGGAAGAGAGGGTATTTGTTGTATGGTCCACCAGGTACTGGAAAATCAAGCTTGATCGCAGCCATGGCCAATCATCTAAACTTTGATATCTATGATTTAGACTTGACATCAGTCAACAGTAATGGTGAGCTCAGGAAGATATTGATGTCTACTGCGAACCGTTCGATTCTAGTTGTGGAAGATATTGATTGTTCAATCGAGTTCAAGGATCGGAATACTGATGAGCCTTCACAAGTATTTCATGATAACAACGATCCGCTGCATAAACCGGTAATGCATTTTGATTCACTATCACTAATGTTTTGAAAATGTGTATGTCTTAGCTCATAAATGATGCTTATTTCTAACTAATTTTGGTTGGTCATTTTTTTCAGGTCACACTCTCTGGTCTACTGAATTTTGTAGACGGGCTCTGGTCAAGTTGTGGTAACGAACGGATTATAGTGTTCACGACAACTACAGAGAAAAACTGGATCATGCACATTCACATGTCGTATTGCACACCGGCTGCTTTTAAGGTTCTGGCTTTGAATTATCTCGAGATTCAAGACCATATGCTTTTCGAGCAGATTGAGGAATTGATCCAGGAAATAGAAGTTACACCATCAGAAGTAGCTGAACAGTTGATGAGGAATGACTCTGTTGATAAAGTACTCCAAGGATTGATTGTGTTCTTAAAAGCCAAGAAAACTGAAAATGATGAACAAGGCCAATAGAAATTGTTAATAGCTTAGAAGAAAACTTGGAGTATCAACTGTTAGGCTATCTATTGGTTACAATCTAACTGAAAGTGAAATTAATACTTTTTTGGGTTACAATTTAAAATTTTGAATTATATCAATGAATCCTATCTACAAGGGCCTATTGCGGTTCAATGATTTGATACTAAAGTTGAAATAAGTTTCGTAGTCGGTAGCAAGTAACCAAGAAAACGAGTATAGTTGACTGTTGACTTGTAATTGTTAAACCATTGACTTCCATTTTGATAAAGTTTCTTGTACGCTCATTCCTGAAACCAAGTTGCAAAACTAGAACGAATCAAAGATCCAAAGATCAAAAGCTTCAGATCCTATCGGTTCACTCATTTCCTTGTAAGTACTCTCTTACCTTAAAGATTGTTACTTTGGTTTGTATTCATCTCGATTTTAGGATTTATACATGTTTCTTGAGAAAATACGGATTGGTCAAGAAAATCCCATCTTGGGTTAGTGAGTTTTATAGTCGTTGGTTGATTGGTTTCTGAAAGTCCGATCTTTTGATACTTACATAACCATTTGAATTATTTGCTTCTCAGGTCTGAGAAATGGTGGATGCTGTAGTGACAGTGTGTCTAGAGAAAGCCCTGAACATCCTCGAAGAGAAAGGCCGAGTTGTGTCGGAATATAGAAAACAGTTGAAAGATTTGCAAGATGAGTTGCAATATATGCAGTCTTTTCTCAAGGATGCAGAGAGGCAGAAAAGAACAAACGAAGTCTTGCGCAAACTCGTGGCAGACTTGAGAGAACTGGTTTACGAAGCTGAAGACATACTAGTGGATTGTCAGCTCGAGAATAGTGATGAGGATGATAACGAGCAAAGGCCATCAAACGCGTGGCTTTCTCGGTTTTATCCCGCCCGAGTTTCACTTCAGTACAAGAAAAGCAAGCGTCTCAAAGAGATCAACGAGCGGATAAAGACGATAAAGACTAAAGTCGAGCCTTATTTCAAGTTCAGAACGCCGAGCAACGTTGGAAGAGACAATGGAACTGATCGGTGGAGCTCTCCGGTGTATGATCATACTCAGGTGGTTGGTTTGGAAGGAGATAAAAGAAAAATCAAGGAGTGGCTCTTTTGTTCAAACGAGAGCGACCTTCTGATGATGGCCTTTGTTGGGATGGGAGGCTTAGGTAAAACAACGATTGCTCAAGAAGTGTTCAATGACAAAGAGATCGAGAACCGTTTCGAAAGAAGGATTTGGGTGTCTGTGTCCCAGACTTTTACTGAAGAACAGATCATGAGAAGCATATTGAGGAACTTGGGTGACGCAAGTGTTGGAGACGATCTTGGAACATTGCTGAGGAAAATCCAGCAATATCTCTTGGGGAAAAGGTATTTGATCGTGATGGACGATGTATGGGACAAGAACTTGAGTTGGTGGGACAAGATCTACCAAGGACTGCCTAAAGGACAAGGTGGCAGCGTTATCGTGACCACAAGATCAGAATCTGTCGCGGTAAAGGTTCAGGCAAGAGACAAGACTCACCGTCCACAGCTACTTAGTGCTGATAACAGCTGGTTGCTTTTTTGTAAAGTGGCGTTTGCAGCAAATAACGGTACTTGTGAGCGTCCTGAGCTAGAAGATGTTGGCAAGGAGATTGTAACGAAATGCAAAGGTTTGCCTTTGACGATCAAGGCCATTGGTGGGTTGCTTCTTTGCAAAGACCATGTCTATCATGAATGGAGAAGAATAGCAGAGTATTTTCAGGACGAGCTTAAAGATAACACTTCTGAAATTGACAATGTGATGTCTTCTCTGCAGCTAAGCTACGACGAACTCCCTTCTCACCTGAAATCATGCTTTCTCACTCTCTCGCTATATCCGGAAGACTGTGTTATACCGAAACAGCAACTAGTACATGGATGGATCGGAGAAGGTTTTGTCATGTTGAAAAACGGCAGGTCTGCTACTGAATCTGGAGAAGATTGCTTTTCAGGGCTTACTAATCGGTGTCTAGTTGAAGTTGTTGACAAAACTTACAGTGGAACCATCCTCACTTGCAAGATTCATGATATGGTTCGTGATTTGGTGATCGATATAGCCAAAAATGATTCCTTCTCTAACCCGGAAGGCCTCAACTGTCGTCACCTTGGGATTAGTGGAAACTTTGATGAGAAGCAGATCAAACTTAACCATAGATTGAGAGGTCTAGTGTCAACAACTAAGACAGGTGAAGTGAACAAGCTTAACTCAGACCTAGCTAAGAAGTTCACAGACTGCAAATACCTGCGGGTTCTTGATATCTCGAAATCCATTTTTGATGCTCCTCTGTCTGATATTTTGGATGAGATTGCGAGCCTTCAGCACTTGGCGTGTCTTAGTATGAGCAACACACATCCGTTGATCCAGTTTCCTCGTTCTATGGAGGAACTCCACAATCTTCAGATTCTAGACGCGAGCTACTGTCAGAATCTTAAACAGCTTCAACCTTGCATTGTCTTGTTCAAGAAACTTCTTGTACTTGACATGACAAATTGCGGATCACTTGAGTACTTCCCTAAAGGAATTGGAAGTCTCGGGAACCTCGAAGTGCTACTAGGATTCAAGCCATCCAGGTCGAACAATGGGTGCAAGCTAAGTGAAGTGAGAAATCTCACCAACCTTAGGAAACTTGGTCTTTCTCTGACTCGCGGCGATCAGATCGAAGAGGATGAGCTTGATTCTTTGATAAACCTATCCAAGCTTATGTTCATCTCCATCAACTGCTATGATAGCTATGGTGATGATCTCATAACCAAACTAGATGCTCTCACTCCTCCACACCAGCTCCATGAGCTTTCTCTACAGTTCTATCCTGGAAAGTGTAGTCCTTCATGGTTGAGTCCTATCTCGCTTCCGATGTTGAGGTACATGTCAATATGCTCTGGTAATCTGGTGAAAATGCATGAACGATTCTGGGGAACTGAGACTAACACTCACTGGAGAATCGAGGGTTTGATGTTAAATTCGCTGTCGGAACTAGACATGGATTGGGAAGAGCTCCAGAGGTCAATGCCGTACCTTAGGACCGTGCACGCAAACTGGTGTCCCGAGCTAGAGACTTTCCCAATCGAAGATGTCGGCTTTAGAGGAGGGGTGTGGACGAAGACACCACCACACAGGACCTGATGATGGCACGGTTTAAGCAACCCGGTAATTGTTTACGTATCAGCAACAACAAAGTGGTGTTATTACATATACCAACATACAATGTTTAGCATTTGACCGTGTGGATATTTTATATCGAACATTCCTTTTTCTAGTAACCATATAACAACGGAGTAAAAGGCAAAACAGAGACAAGCAGTCAACTGCTAGATTAGTCAGAGTCAGAGTCCAGATTCTCTGAAGACCTAACCGAGCGCCTTATGCTCTCTTGATATTCGGCGTCTTCATCATCTTCTTTCTTCTTCTTGCTGAGCATTCCTGTTTAAAGATTTGCACAATTTAAGCAATAATTCTCTAACTGAGTTGTAAGTACGAAAAAGGTCGACGTACGGTTCTTCATACCTTTTTTAACCAGAACGTTCTCCAATTTAGTCGTGCTGAAATCGTCCTTTGTGCCCAGATCCTGGAACCCAACTAGCCTATCTATTGCGATTCCCTTGCTGCGAATGATAAAGAAAATCATATCTTATCAGTATAAGACCTAACAACAAACCATGCATGTAAGAATGAGTCGAAAGAGGCGCAACCTGAAAAGCAAAACGCAAGGTAAAGTCTTTATAGCAAGCTTCGTGACAAAGAAAGGAGCATTCTGCATTCATGTCAAGCAAGAATCAGCCTCACAAAACAGAGCTTAAACGGCAAAACAGAGTTTCGAATGATTGTTGAAAAGCCATTTCTAATCTTTATCTTTAACCGAGTGGTTCACTAACCTCTGCGTCCATTTTAATGAACTTTGTGTCCACATGTCTAGGAGCAAGAGTTTTCAGATGCTTGTCCATTATCCTACAATGATGCAGTGCAAAGGTTTGGTTACGATCTGATATATTATAAGACGAACAAACAAAAAAGCTGATGAGTGACAGCATCTTACTTGCACCGATAAAACTCCTTGTGGTAGAAATGACATATCACTTTCTCACTTCTAGTGACTTCGCCCAAGAAATCTCCCTCGCTTACCTCTCGATATTCACCATGTCCTTGCCTTTTGAAGGCTTCTCTCTTCTCGACTTCTCTCTGTCACAGATAAAAATCTTGGAGAGTTAGCTGAGTCATTACAATAGCTGCATAACTAAATAATAAGCCACAGTACAATGCCAAAGTTATAACCTTGAGTGATGCAATCCTATCTGCGTGCAGTTTCTCTAGCTCTGGATCCTACAGAGCATACGCAAATACAGAAAGCGTAAATCTCAAAAAACCAAAAAAAAAAAGGATCATAAGTCGAACAAACCACACTGCACTTACATCCATCAGTTCATCAAGATCAACCTCGTCATTGACAGGATTTGATGATTGCGCCTTCTCATTGCAATAACTTCCTGAAAATTCAGGCACTTATATTACCAGAAACATACAAGTTCTACAGAGATTATCTACAAAAATGTGTAGCCTAACAACACAGATAAATCATTATTCAAGTTTCAACAATTCTGTCTCCAGGATTTACTCGTAACACATCTCAGCCAATTTTTTGTGAATGTCAAATGGATAAAGAAAGAAACCCACCAAGAGCATATGCAAGAAACACGAAAACGTAAAAATTATCCAAAAAAACCTTCAGAAAAAGGCAACTATGAAATCGCATTTGATGGATTTAACCAAATACTGAAGAGAATATCCTTTTACCTTCTGATAATCTCTAGCAGCTGCAGCCATTACATTTCCGAATGCCAGATTCGAGAGGGTCGACTTGACTGCATCCGGATCCATCTTTAGCACCAAAAAAATCTGAATAACAAAACACGAAAGCGTCGGCCTCAGAATTCAAGGATTCAGGAATAGAGATCTAATGCTCCGAGATCATACCTAGTTCAATTCCCTCCTGATGGGAAACCAAAAAAAAAAGCTTAAGTAATCGAAATCGAAATCCGAGCTTGTTACTAACAATTTCAAATCTGGAGCCGAAAAACAAATCCCAAAATCAAAAGATGAAAAACATCAAAGAGGTGGAAACATGAACCACAATCGAAACGGCAGCGTTTGTTTAGGGAAAATATGCAAAACTAGGGCTTCCTTTCCGGCCTAATATCTTTAAGCCCATAAGGCCCAAAAAGCTATCTTACCGACATATATATTAATTTAAAAAGATGTATAGGTCAAGTAAGTTACCGACATGTGTCGGTAAAAACTACACTAACGTCTTACGTAGTCGCCACGTGTGTCGACACTGATTGAATGAAACATGTAAAGATTCCTATCCAAAATCGGGTCTATTAGAAGCATCATCATTTATGATTCATGAGTGTGTGAATCTTTCATCGCTCAAAAGTCTCAATATAATCAAAAATAAAATTGTCTTAAGTTTAAGTTTCGAAAATGGAGTCTAATTATCAAAACCAATCGGGAGCGCAGCAGAGTCACCAACAGCTTGACCAATACGGAAATCCAGTCCCAGTCGGAACCGGAGTCTATGCAGCTCCGGTCATGGCTGGTGGCCTGCTTCATCGTTCTGGAAGTAGCTCTAGCTCTAGCTCTAGCTCGGTACTAATCTACTTCTTCTCCTTCAAAAACCTAGATATTTTGCATATTTATTCTTGTATACATTCTGTTTGCAATATTTAATATACTTTTACTATATCACTAAAGTTTAGTTGTTTTATTTATTTTGACTTAATTTCATAGGAACGAATTACTATGTCAAATTTACAAAATTTCGAGAATTTATTTTGAAAAAAATTCAAAAAAGGGAGAGAGTGTGTTTGTGAAGCATAATTGACTGCATAGAAACATACGCAAATGAGTTATGATCGCATATATAAAAAATCGCTAGTATCAATTCCCGTCTGCCTACAAGTTGTTATATTTTTTAAATATAATTTCGTTTGGGAATGATATTAATTTTATTTGTTCATATTAATTTAAGTTTGGACGTTTCTGAGCAATGAAAGAAAATAAGTTTGACTCTGTAAGTATGTATCGCAATTTTATTTTTAAAATGGTAAATATCAAAATTTGTAGCTTTTGATGATGATATTCTCTAACACGTGCGTGCGTGCGTGCATGCATGCATGCAGGAGGACGAGGGACTAGGTGGAAGGAGGAAGAAAAAGGGAATAACGGAGAAGATAAAGGAGAAGCTGCCATGTGGTCATCATGGGTCCCACCAGACTTCTTCAGCGATTGGCAACACCACGGCTTATGATACTACTGGCACCGGCGCCGTTCACCACGAGAAGAAAGGCATTGTGGAGAAGATCATGGACAAGCTTCCCGGTGGCCATTATTAGTTACATTTTCAATCAAAGTTGCTTCCATGTTCTTTAGGTAGTTTCTATTGTGTAATAATATAAAAACCTGCCTTTGTAAGGTGCGTTACGCGTTTGGTCCTATTAGTCCTTTTGCATGTGAGGTAATCACTTTGACAGTGGCGGAGCCACAAATTTTCTTCAAATGGAATATACATAATTTTATGAATGGAGGCGTTAATAAATTACTTTATAAATTGCACCATTTTATAAAATTTACTAGGGCATATGACCCTAACCTAAACTATGTGGCTCCGCCACTGCACTTTGATGTGTTGAAAATTTCATGAATGGTAGATGTCCCTGCACTGTTCGTAATATACTCGCCCCGTATTTAAAAAACCAAAAAAAAAAAAAAAAAAAACTCGCCCCGAATCATGAAAGAAAAGAAAAAAGAAAAGCTATCCCATTTACGTGGGATATTTATTTCATCCAATTAAAATCAGTTGATCATTAGATTTACTATTCAGCATATTTCTTTTTGATTTACCAGCTACACGCGTAATGAATGTAATTGACGGGGGTTCATGGAATTGAATTAACTCTCTCCCTTTGATTTCATTTATGGCTTTAGCTTTCAATTTAAAGTGAACCCAAATTAAGGCAGATAGCGCGCACAATGGGTTATTTACGAGTCTCGAACAGGCATCTCCCCTTTTCTAGTAACAATGGCCACATGGAATTGAAGTTTTCTTTTATCAACACAAAGAAAGACCGAAAGACAAAAGAAAAAGGGCAAGTTGACGTTTATCATGTAATCAGTGTAGTGTTTACCAAATCATTTGAATAAACATATATAACTCAAAATTGAACATATTAGGGGATATGTGAAATGATAATTAGAAATAAGGACAAGATATAGAAGTAACAAATCTGTTATTCAAACAAACACTCGCAATTAATGTATCCATCCGATCCAACTGTCTAAAAAGAAAGTTTAGGTAATATATCAAACAAATCAAGCCTTCCCCTATAAATTAAATGAAACTATGCATTCATCACTCCCACAATAATCACAAGAGTCCCCAGAAAACTCCCAAAGCGAGTAAAGAATCAAATGGCAAAGTCAATAATGTGCATTGTTCTCACTGAAATTTCCCTCGTTGCCTTGTTTCATATTTGTATATGTTATCAAACCAACGAATGCACGAGCACCCCCTCTCTCTCCCCACAGTTTTACAACAGCTCTTGCCCAAAAGCTCAAACAATCGTTCAATCATTTGTCGCCAAAGCATACTCCAACGACCCTCGCATGGCTGCCTCATTGCTTAGGCTTCATTTCCATGATTGTTTCGTCAATGTTTGACAACAACTAATCTCTTTTTTTTACTCAATGTTTGATATGAATTTATGGATAAATATAAATTCAGTCTTAGTATATGGATCTTGCTTGCTTTTTGGGTGGTGCAGGGATGTGAAGCTTCATTATTATTGGACAATAGCGGAACGATGGAAAGCGAGAAACGATCAGTCTCAAACCAAGACTCTGCTCGAGGGTTCGAAGTCATCGACGATATCAAGTCTGCCTTGGAAAATGAATGTCCACAAACAGTTTCTTGCGCTGATATTTTGGCTATCGTCGCTAGAGACACCACTGTTATTGTATGTCAATTCTTGTAACACAAGAGAATCATTAGAGTTGATAAATGTTACTAAAGCTCGTAAATTAATGAAATTTATATACAGACCGGTGGACCGAGTTGGGAAGTATATCTAGGAAGAAGAGACGCAAGAGAAGCAAACTTGAAAGGTTCCAACGACAACATTCCTCTTTCTAACTCCACGTTTGAGAGCATCGTCACCATGTTCAACGTTCAAGGACTCGATCTGACCGATGTTGTTGCTCTCTTAGGTAATGTATTTGTTAATACACCCGAAGTCGGGATCTTAGCTTATGATTTAAAATTTAATTTGGGTTTAAAATTTAATTTTTTTTTCGGGTGGGTCCGTATATTTGGAATTTCAGGTTTAACATTTACTTCTTAGGATTGAGTTTTTCTTTTTGTTAAATTTGAAAAAACAAAATATTTTCTTAGATACACTTTCTAACATAATGTCTCTCATATTTTATGTCAAAGATATTTTGCACGACAAATTACATATGAATAAATCAATATTGTAACTTTTAAATTAAGAACCATGATTCGAGCGTAGGAAGTCATACGATAGGAAACTCGAGGTGCAAGAGTTTCCGACAAAGGCTATACAACCAATCTGGAAACAGCGATCTTGACCAGACTTTGAATCAAAACTACGCCTCTATGTTGCAGCAGGGGTGTCCGATTTCCGGTGACGACCAGAACCTCTTTGCTCTCGACTATGTGACGCCAACTAAGTTTGACAACTACTACTTCAAGAACCTGATGACGTTTAAAGGACTCTTGAGTTCTGATGAGGTGTTGTTCACAAAGAGCAGAGTCTCCATGCAGCTGGTCAAGCTTTATGCGGAGAATGAGGAAGCCTTCTTTGAGCAGTTCGCGAAGTCGATGGTGAAGATGGGAAATATCTCGCCGTTGACTGGGACAAATGGTGAGATCCGGAGGATCTGCCGGAGAGTTAATCACGTAGACGTCTAATACTTCATTAATATTATTGCATATTCAATGTCATGTTTTAAATTATGAGTTTGGTGTGTGTGTTCAAGAACTACTGAGTTTGGTGTTTGTTTGTAATATACTCCCTGTGTTTTTTTTTTCTTGGTAGAATTATATTTGTTGTAAATTCATGAGATTGATTAACGTTTCTTAATTTATGTAGAGTTGTACGTCTTTTGCCTTGGTGAATTTGGTGTTTGTTGTAAATTTTTTTTTATCGATGATTACCAAAAACAAATCGAATTTTATTGCGAGTGAGTTTTCTGATGAATTTGGAATTCGGCTATTCTTAAAATTGTGAATTTTGACATATAACTCCGCTTGGTAGAAAATCATTTTCAAATTTATGAATCAAACCTGAATCTAAAAGTATGGGGGCTTATTTTAAGAATTCGTCAAAATTAATGGGTGATTTTGTAATAGCTAAGTTCTTGAGGTAACTGAGCCTATTTGGATTTGGAAAAAATATCGCCATTAGAACGACGTCGTCTCGGCCTAATAGAAACATTTTGTATATCTGCTGCTATTTTCAGGTCTGTTTATACTTTGCCTTACTGCAAAGCGTATCAGTGTGCTATTACACGTTGAAAAAGTGTATCTAAAGTGTTAGTCAAAGTGCTATTACACTTTCAAAAATTGTGTCCTGATGTAATTTTCTCATATATGCACAAACCCAATTTGGCTTCATACTTCTTTATTTCTGAACAAAAAAACAAACACAGAAAATATTGTACATCTTTCTTACATTATTATTTATCAACCATAATGTTTATAACGATCACATTCGGGTTTTATATTGATTCTCAGATACACATTTACTACAATTAGTAGTTTTTACTTTTAGATAGCAATAGCATCATGCATGGATGGAACTATAGAATAAGGGCACGAAACAGCATGAGTTTACTCTGATGTGTGCAGTAACTTGTTTAAGAAAGAGAGAATCTCCTCTGAGACTTGTTTAGACTTCTCCTGGTGGATAAAATGATGACCATCCTCAATAACAGTAATCTCAAGATTAGGTACAATTCTCTTGAACATCTCTCCTTTCACATACTCCATCGTTCCATTAGGTCCTTCATTTCCTATATCTTTGTTTCCCGCAATAAATTTCGTTGGAACAACGATTTTCGAGTCTTGCCACGGCGCCAATATCTCCCAGTTCCTATCATTTTTGCTCACTTTAGTTAATACTTGTTCTGAAACAGCAAAGAACTCGAGATAAAGAGAAAGAGAGAAGTGAAAGTTACATATCCATGGCTCTGTAGTAATTCAAGGGCCCTGTGAATCCGGATCTTTGAAACTTGTCTGCATACACTTGAATCTCTTCTTCGGTTATCCAATCTGGAAGCGTCGATGGTATCTCAAGATGATCGATGATCTCTGTATCAGGAGGAGCCACTAAGTAATCTGTTCTCGTTACCAGCAAGAACTTCTTCATAACAGTTAAGCAATCATGCTTTGCAAATGCAGCCTCAGCTCTCCCCGGTTTCTTGTAAGAACAACCAAGAAATGGAATCAAACGACGACAATAAAATACCATAAAAAATCAAGAAAGCTATTTTGGGAACTCACCTGAAACTGAGAGATGTACACCCCATCTCCAAAGCTTTTGAAAAACTCTGAAGGTTTGAGTTTTGGATCTCTTGGAAAATATGGAACAGAGAGACTTATGAAACCTTTGACTCGGTCTGGTCTAAACAAGCACAAACACCAACCTATGATTGCTCCCCAGTCATGACCAGCCACAAAAGCCTACACAGTAATAAAATAAAATAAAAAATCTAAACTTTATTCCAGAAATTGTTCTAAATCTAACCGACGGATTCTTAGAATATCAGTATTAACCTGAGCAGTGCCGTAGTGGTCGAGCAAACCGATGACATCAGCGACGAGGTGGCTCACAGTGTAAGACTCATAGCTCGGAGGAGAATCAGACTCAGCGTAGCCTCTGAGATCTGGAGCGACCACGTGGTAGCCATGGCTCGACAAGAAATCGATCTGGTGACGCCACGAGAACCATGTCTCAGGGAAGCCATGGAGTAGCAGAACCAAAGGTCCGTCTTCGTCTCCTTTCTCAGCCACGTTTAGCCAAATCCCATTGCTCTTGACCCTCTGTTCTTTCACTTCGCTCGTCATGATTCTTGATAGATGCGAGAGAGAGACAGTGGATAAATCAGCGACTAAGAAGACTTTTATAACAAAAGTTGAGACTTGGGAGATCACGGAAAACAATGGGTACACGTGGCACAGAAAGAGACAGGCAAGCCTCTAGTAAGGTTACACGTGGCGGTCGATTGTCTTGATTCAGTCAGAAATCTTGTACTAAATGTTTCAGTCTCTTTGAGGTGCCGTGAATAAAAGAATGTAGACAAGTTAAAGAAACGAGAAACTCATGACTGAATATAAAAGACCAGAAACGGCAAGTAACTCTGGTTCTTCCGACAAAGTTTGTACGACGACAAGGGAGAGTGAACTCTTCAGAGAGAGAACACAACAAAAAAGGAGCAAACCTAACTCAAGACAAGAGAAAACAGAGATTGTCATATCAGGATTATTCTATGTTTGGTTGGAATGAAAGCAATTTCAAGAAGACATTGATTTATTCTTCTCTTCCTCGAGCTGCTTAAGCTCAGCCAGTCTTTCTTTCCATGCCCGGTCCCTTGCGACAGCCGCCATTTTACGTTCCACTTGCTTGATTCTCTTCTTCCTCTTCGCCTCTTGCACTAGTGCTTGCCTCTTCTTTTTCTCAGACTGTGGAAAGTATACATGTGGACTCGATCTCATTAGAAAACGACATTACTCATATGTAACGAAAACGACAAGAAACATCGCAGACTGTTGCTCCAAGAATTGGAACAATAGAGATACAACCAACGTTTTTACCGTTCAAACAATTTTCTTATATGTACAATCTATGGATTCAACATTTCAAGATTCTCATTTGACGTTTCTTCTAACAATCAGCAAAAAGATCACCCAAATAATATAGAAACATTGTCTCCCCATGAAATGAAACAAAAACAGAGGAGCAAGAGATATACAACCTACATGTTTCCCATGGGTTACTACGATTTCTCAGCTTTCACACATTTTTCTCATTTGTAAAATTTATGGACTCAACATTCCAAGATCTCTCATCTGAAGTTTGTTTTAATAATCAGCAAATATAACACCCTAATAATGTAGAGATATGCAAACATCAAAAAGACTTCAAATTTCTTAAAAACAAACTAGAGAGAAATCACACAAACCAGTATAAAGGCACGTCGCTGCCCTATACGCTTCTTCGCATTCCTTCTCTTCACACTGCCCTTGTTAGGATTGTTTGGAGAAATTGGCTCGCCAGGGGTATACTGAACATATGCATACGGCCCTGCATTTTCCTCAAATCGGTTATTCACCCAACCAATTCCACCATAGATTATTAGATTCACTGTCTATATAGTTTTTTTCAGTAAGAACACTCATGCAGGGCTTGTACACAATCACATTTCACTAAGAGTACACGAGATCGATACTAAACCTAGTCACACAGAAGAAAGAAACACACACAAAATACTAACTAAGCCTCACAAATAAAAATACACTAACTCGACTTAAACCACACAACACTCATCCCCAATTTCACAAACAAAGCATCAATCTTAGCTCTACTACAATGTCCAAGAGTAACAATGAACTTAAATAAAAACATATAAGTGACGAATAATCGATATAAAAGTTTTAAATAGCCATAAAAACATAAACAGCGAACCTGGAGGTTTCAATTTGGATCTTTTCCTCTTGGGATGAGTCATGGGCCGTCTCTTCGGAAGCCGAGTATCAGTTAAGCTTAAGCTGTGAAAATGATTAGCCACAGGAATCCACGGCAGCTTCAAATGCCTCGATCCACCGAAGAAGGAGCATAACTCCGGCTTCGCGGCCGGAATCGTCGCAGGGAATGGCGCAGACGAGCAGCTTGCGGCGGCACGCGAAACTAGGGTCCTCGACAATGGTCGAAAAATCGATCTAATTGCACCGAAACCCATTTCAGCAAAGCATCAGCAGAACAGCTTGCGATCCAAAAGCTGCTGGATTTATCCGATTAAGCTTTCCGAATTTCAATTTGCAGATGCCAAAGGTTGAAACTTGAAACGAAGGACTCTCTCGCTAAACCCTGAACAGCACACTCAACACTAGTGGGCCTAAAAAGTGTAATTTGGCTCATAAGTGTGGCGTTAGAAGATTGATATTTAATAATTGGGTCTCAAAAGAGCCCATCATTTGGTACGATTATGTATTTCTGTAAAGACTAAAAAATTATTGTCTTTAAATCTCATCAAACAAAATTCTGCAAGAATATGTGAGTTTATTGTCTAAAGGTATATTGTAATCATGGAGCTAGAGTGAGACTTGCGTCGTAATTTTATACTAATGAAGAATTTGGATCAAAGTATGCCACAAAAGGAAAGCAAATATTATACCATTAACGACACTAATTCCAAATTTGGAGCCCTTTATGTAAATATAGATCTGGCTACCATATATAAACATAAATATAATCCAATATTAATCATCGAAACCAATATAAATATACACCAATCTCCTCCATTTGCCAAAGAAATACAAAGTTGCAACTCATACAACTCTATAAAGTTTCTTCACGAGTTCATAAAGGCGACAAACATGTTTTCATCAAATCGTCAGACAACTACAAGGCTGGTCCGTTTTCAATCTATCATTACATGTTCATCATCATATTTCTCTACTGATAGTTGTTATGGTCTGTGTGTACATATTAAGATTTTTTGAACTTTTTCTTGCAGACTTGTGGGTTCAAAGTGAACACACAATCTCCCGAATGGCACAAGAGCATGACGAAAATCCTCAAGAAAATCAAAGGTTCGTTCTGTTATTCAAACATAATATTCTTATATCGTATACTCTCACTATCCGATAGAAGAGACTTTTTTTTTTTTTTGGTTTTAGCTGGTTATTGGTGAATGTTCTCTCTGCGGTTTATTAATAGCAGAAGAGGGTCGTGGAGAAATATTATTCTCTGTCTTTTTTGGGGCATATGAGGATTTGTTTTTTATAAATTAATAAACTTCTTCGAGATCGAGCAAAACCTTTTTTTTTTAATTAGGGTTTTTTGCTTGTGGGACAAACTGTTGGT